CTTGAGTGTGAGAAGTGGGCATCCTTACTGCCAGGCCGACACCTTGAGCGTGAGAAGTGGGCATCCTCACTGCCAGGCCGACACCTTGAGCGTGAGAAGTGGGTATCCTTACTGCTAGGCCGACACCTACCCTGCTGGTGCCTTGTCAAAGCTCACCTCGCTTGCCTTATCTGAACCGATTAACGAACTCAGGCTTTTTATCAATAGTTCAGCAAACTGATGCTTGCTTCCTTCTTAGTGCCCAAGGTGTCTTAATGTGGCGAGGATGATTCTTCACAAACCACTGCCTTTTTCTCCAAAGTCTCAAATACTTGTTGTATGGCAACAATTGGGATGTATAGGCTCAATGAAGCTGTTTTTTTAGAACAAAGAGTTAGCATCAGTCTTGTGATTTCTTTTCATGAAGGGGAGTTTAAAAAAACTCAATAGCAGATGAGTTTTGGTACTATCTGAAAATACTGCCATCATCGTTGGGCACATCAGGGGTAGAAGCTGCCCATGTATCATGCTACACATTAGATAGCAGTTTCAAGGTCTGATGCACCTGCTCTCCTAAAGCAGGCCTTGACGCAGAGGCGTTCCTCTGGGCTACAGCTACACCACACATCTGTCTCCACATACAGGTGCTACTTTGCCAGTGTCAGCAGCCACATGATCCGCCACCACAGTGCCACTGTGGACTCACTGCTCTGTGGTGCGTGGCACAGCTGCCTCTTCCAAGATACCCCTTTGCCACTGACCTTTATGTTGAAGCCTGCTACCCCATCTTCCAGTGTCCCGTCTTGTGATGGAACAAATTGTCCCCTTTCTAAGACAGATCATGCCATGCACCCCACTCTTCTGGAGCCTCTCAAATATCATCCCTAACCCCTGATTTCAGAAACGTCCCAGGGGCATCTTCTCTGGGACCCCCATTTCTTCATTCTGCCAGGCATTGGCTGCCCTCTCAGTCCAGCAGCGTCAGACAATTTCCTTGTCCATCAAAGTGACCCTTTGTTCTTTTCCTGCGCGTCCTATCAGTCAGGTGCATCTGAGGCTTTCCCAACCTTCTTCCTTGCAGGCCACAAACAGAACACGCCCATCTCTGGCAATTTGGGATGAGGCCGGTCACCACAGAAGCAACTGGGTTAGCTCTCCAGCCCCCCGATCGCCCCTCCAGAGACCCCGACTACAGAGTGCCACTTGTTAGAAGTCTGGCCTCTGATTTTCTTCCTTTTTTGCATTTTTCCACCACAGTGGCATTCTGTTCTAGTTTCCAGAAAATGGCTGTGACTTTCCCTTCCAAATGTTCTGCTGATCTGGGGGATCTTCTCAGCAAGTGTAGTTTCAGCGTGCAAGGAGTCTTATTCTCCGATATGCCTTCTTTACAGTCTCAGGCTGTGCACCCTTACAGGATGTCAGCGTCAGTTCCACTGAGTCGACTTCTGCACCCTGCGTTGTATTTGTCGCTGTGGTTGGTGTTTGCTTTTCTATCTGTTGATCTCTGTCTTCCATATCTAGGTTTCCCAGAACCACCTGACAACCCCTGGGTGTCAGCCCACGTTTAAGAAAATACAAGGGTCCAGGGTAGTGGCTCGATTGGCTAATCCTCCCCCTTCAAATGCCGGAATCCCATACGGGCGCAGTTTGTGTCCTGGCTGCTCCACTTACCCTCCAGCTCCCTGCCTGTGGCTTGGGAAAACAACAGAGGACGGCCCAAAGCCTTGGGACCCTGCACCCATGTGAGAAACCCGAAAGCAGCTCCTGGCTCCTGGCTTTAGACTGATTCAGCTCTGGCTGTGGCCTTTTGGAAGTGAACCTACAAATGGAAGATTCTCTCTCTCCTCTCTGTAGGTCTGCCTTTCTAGAAGAGGAAAGGGAGGAAGAAAAAAAGAGAAAAAAAACAAGAAAGAAAATACATCATCTGACAGAAGATCTTTCTGCTGTCTCTCCTCCTCTCTGTATATCTGACTTTGCAATACAAATAAATCTTTTAAAAAAGAAAAAAACACTGGTGCAAATTCAGGAGTGTGCAGGACACGTCAGCCAGGTACTTCATTGCAGTGCAGCAGGGCTCAGGGGTCAGCACTGGCCACTGGGAGGGCACTAGAAGCAGGTGGATAGTCACGGGGGTGGGGGGTTCCACTGGTTCCACCACCCCCTCATTTCAGCCCTGCCAGCTGCTACTGGGATGTTTTTCCTCTGTGCATACTGAACACCCTTTTCTAAACATTTTCCCCTCTCTACCCGAAAAATCTGGCGTCCTTCATCCTCCACTGTCCTTCGTGATTTAAAAGGCTCCTGGACCAGTGCCTTACGTAGGAGAGAAAGTCATTAAACACAAATGGCTATAAATACGTAAACCATTTGGTGATTAGAACAACATTTGAATACAAAAAGCTGTATTTCTTCAGTTATCTTGTCCCTCTTTTAATTGCAGAACGCACGCCCCCGCATGGAGCAGAGTTTGTTGAAAACCTCATTTGTCTTGCAACTTGCTTTTGAAAGTAACTGGCCACTAAACAGAATCATAATGCAACTTTCACTTTCACTTTACAATAAAATATAAATCCTAAACAATCACTTATGAAAAGATCAAAGAGGTTCAAATCCCCAACAGGATTAAAAACGTTGCAGTGTACTGCTTACTGAGAGTGATGCCAGAGCCATCCACTGAGTGTGTCAGACGCGACCTCAGTGCCTAGCATGTGCCTGCTTCTGCAGCTGCTGTAAATAACACAGCAAGTGCCTTCACACATATAAATTCACAAGGGAAAAAAATCAAGGTATATTCCTGAATTATTTACTGCTTTAAAAACAGCATTTCTGGGGTTGCTGTGATGGTTCAGTGGCCGATCCTCTGCCTGAAAAAGCCAGCATCCACATGGGTACCGGTTTGAGTCCCGGCTGCTTCACTTCCCATCCAGCTCCCTGCCTGTGGCCTGGGAAAGCAGTGGAAGATGACCCAGAGACTTGGGACCCTGCACACATGTAGGAGACCCAGAAGAAGCTTCTGGCTTTGGATCGGCTCAGTTCTGGCCATAGTGGCCTTTTGGGGAGTGAATCAGCAGATGGAAGATCTTTCTGTCTTTCGTCTCTGTAAATCTACCTTTCCAATTGAACAAATTACCAGCGTTTCTTTTAAAAATAAAAAACAATATTTAATCCAGGACTGTGATATAAAAGTTGTATTAATGAATGATTTTGTGAATTTTTGAAGCATATTTACCCCAGGATCTTCTGTCCCCCAGAGCGTCACCGGGGACAGTGGGGAGGTCATGTTCACCACTGATGGAGTCATAACGCTTTTCAAGGGGTCATTACTTAATAGTGCTTCTCTACTTCTTCAGTTAAGGGTGCCTTCACCTCCCAGACAATCTGATCACACAGACATTGGCTCCATGGCCACACGTGTCCCTGCTGTGTCCTCACCCTGGTCATCTCGTGGAGGCTACCTGAGGGTGTGTCTGGGGCTACATGCCCGAGTGTCCATGTGGATAACTGTTCCACACATACGTAAGAAGAGGAATTTCCTTTTTCTGGAGCCTTAGCCTAATCCCAGGTCCAGCAAACTGTGAAATCGATGGCATGGGGGCCACAGGATCATGAGACCGTACACATGATACAGAAAGGAATCCTGATTCTGCAATCCTAAATTTCACTATACAGTTACCAGTCCAAGTTAACTGTAACACCGTTGAGTTGTAATGGAACATCCTGGGCTATAATTGGCCTTACACAATTTTTAAAAATTGAGTTTGCGTGGCCAATGGTCGACCACCATGCATCTGTCCTATGTGATGGCCGCAAGTCATGGGGCGCAGTGACTCAGGGGTGACAAGGAAACACTGGCCCACGCATGCTGCCGTTAGCCATCACACCTTAACCACAGGGTGGGATTCCCGGCCCAGCATCACACCTGCTCCTGCAGGGCCTGAAGTCACACAGGATTGAGTCCTAAAGGACCCAGCTGCCCTCCAGCCTGGACGTCCCAGACAACATACGAAGATTCATCTCCCATGTTTGCGCTTTCCAAAGTTCAGCATTAAGGGACGGGGGTGGGGGGGGTGGAAAGGAGGAAGAAACTTAAATAGAAACTTCAAGTTACACCCAAAACCCAGATAGGGTGGAAATTTCTTCCAGGTCCTTTCAGCCTGGAAAATACCAAACCTTGGCTCATTTTGCCTGCCGTGAGTTAAGACACACACACACACTCACATACATACATACATGTACACTTATGTTTGCACAAACACATAAAAACAGAGCTGTTACGGAGAGATCTGCAATGACTGTCGCGGTTTATCTGCGCAGACCTGAGGGATTCACCTGTATACTGAGGGAAGGTAACACCGACCCCCTTCGCCTCTCTCTACCTGCAGCTCCCCGGGGTCCCCAACGCCCAGCGTCACCAACCCGCGCACATCCCTCTGGGTCACCCGCAGCCAGGAGCGGCCAGAGCTCTGGGGCTGAAAGGGGGCGTTACCCACCATCGCTGGGTGGGCAGGGGGCCACCTGCGGCTGCGGGGTGGGCGGGGGTCGCTGAGGGGCCGGCGGGGATCACCTGTGGCCCAAGAGCCAGGCGCAGCAGCCCTGAAGACTCGACGCCGCCCCCATCCCGCGCCGCTGGGCTGGCCGCCGTTTCCCCGGCGCGCCGGGGCTGGGCCTGCACGCCCCAGATCCGGGCGGTTCTCGGCGTCACGGGGCCCCGGCCCGCAGGCCCAACAAACACGAACTCACCCGCGGCCGCCACCGGGCTCCAGGAGGGAACCCGAGCCGGGACGCGCCCTCCCATCCCCCGCCCCACGCACGGGCCTGCCCGGGGTCACGGCTGTGCGCGGTGGTCACGCCCCGCTTCCCGGCGCGCCCAGATCCCCGCGTCCCAGGCCCACGCACTTGGCCCAACGTCGGTGCAGCCCTGCTGGGCCTCCCAGTCCCTCCCGCGGCGCCGTCCGGGAGTTGGAGTGGACAACCGACCCCCGCGCGCGCCCCCGTGGCGGCCCCACTCACAGGCACCTTACCCGCAGTCCCCGCGACAACGGCCGGCAAGCAGGACCGCGCAGCGGCGATGAGGCGTCAGAGCCGCCCTGGAGCCTCAAATACCGGCGGGGCAGGCCTGCGGGCGGAGCCGGGGAAGCCAGCCAAGGAGCAGCCCGCCCCGGAGCGGCCCTCGCCCAGGGCGGGGCAGGAAGGGCGGCAGGAGGCAGAGGCTCCAGGTGCGCGCAGGTACGCGTGGGTCCCCGCACCCTTGCCGGCCACCTGCGCCTCTGCAGGCTCCAGCACCAACCCAGCCCGCCAGCTGCACCAGCAGGGAGGGGGAGCCGGAAGTTTTCCACCAGGAGGCACCTGAGAGTCCGCCTCTTCCCATCCTCTCAAGATTCCAAGGCGCCTCGGGGATCGAACCTGTACCAGATCCCGGCACTGGGGCTTATACTGGACGGTGAGAGCAGAAATGAAAAAGGAGCAAGGGCCGCGCAGGACCTCAGTGTCCACACACTCCAGGAGTGAGTCCTCAGGGTACTTTACCTTAAACGAGTGGGAAACCCCGTCTGCTTTCCGGGAGCCCTCTCGGGCTGTTACGGGGTTGCTACGCAGGCTTTGAAATGAGCTCAAGGGTCAGCGACTCCTGTGGGGACGGGTTCAAGTCCCAGCTCCACCACTCCCCATCCAACCCCCTGTTACGGAAGACAGTCTGCAGGCTTGGCCCCTGCGACAGCGTGGGAGACCCTGAGGAGCCTCCTGGACACGCCCTGGCCACTGCAGCCATTTGGAAAGTGAACCAGGCAATGCAGGTTTCTCTGTCACTCCCTCTCTCTGTAGCTCTGATTTTCAATATGAAATTTTTTAAAGGATTTATTTTTATTACAAAGTCAGATATACAGAGAGGAAGAGAGACAGAGAGGAAGATCTTCCACCCAGTGATTCACGCCCCAAGTGGCCACAATGGCCGGTGCTGAGCCGATCCAAAGCCAGGAGCAAGGAACGGCTTCCAAGTCTCGCACACAGGTGCAGGCTCCCAAGGCTTTGGGCGTCCTCCGCTGCTTTCCCAGGCCACAAGCAGGGAGCTGGAAGGGCGTATAGGATGTTTAACGGCATTCCTAGACTGTCTACAGCAAGCCATTCTCAGGTGTGACTTTTATTTTGGAATTTTATTAGTGGAAATAAAGGAGTGCCTGGATATCAACGTAGTCCCCCCCCCCGCCTTGAGTACCCTAATCCTTCCTTTCACCCCGATTTTATTACCCTGTTTATCCTTCTGACCTTCTGACTCAGCTTCTAAAGAAATAAACCATGTGTGTGAAGCCACTTAAATACACACGTACATGAGATTCTTCAAGAACATCACAGTATAACTATACATTTCAAATTTTTATCCACAAAATGTCATCATTTAATCCTATTTTTTGCGGACCTGGGATACAAACCGGCGCCATATGGGATCCTGGGCGTGCAAGGTGAGGACCTTAACCACTGCGCCACCGTGCCGGGCCCCAATCAAAGGCTTTCAAAGAAGGCTCCAAATGAGAGTCTGTGAAATCTTTGTTGCTCATTCCCCCACCCCCTGTGCACACACGGGCGTGCACTGCAGGGAGAAGTCCCTTTAAGAACACACGTGAAGAGCTTACACTGTGGCATAGTGGGTTAAGCCACAGCCTGCCATGCAGGCATCCCATTGAGGACAGCTCAAGTGCCAGTGACTCCACTTCCAATCCAGCTCCTGGCTAATGTGCCTGGGAAAACAACGGAGGATGACCCATGTTCTTGGGTCCCTGGACCCATGTGGCAGACCCAGAAGGAATTGCTCTCTCCTGGCTTCAGACAGGCCTGGCGTTTGCAGCCATTTGGTGAGTGTGGCAGTGCGAAGCAGGTCTGTCTCTCTCAACCCTCTCTCTGTAACTCTCTCTTCCAAATATTAAACACACACGTGCACGTGAAAGGGAGCACAGCTGCCTTCCATTCCCACCCTGTAATCCAGTTGTCTCAAAAGGTGTTGCACCAACATAAAGTTATATTTAATTCCACTTTCCCACAAATTATTGAGACACATTCTGATATATCTGAGTCTGCTTTTTCATCTCATATTTGGTCCCACTGGTCACACTCTTTTAAAGAGCTTTTGTTTTTGTTATAATTTCTCCCAGAGGCGGGGATGGAAAGTTGCAGCTCCCATCTCCCTGGCTCATTAGCCAGATGCCCACAATGGTGGCCACTGGGTTGGACCACAGCTGCCCGAGAACTCAATGCACCTGTCCCCCGTGGGTGCTGGAGATCCGGCAGTGGGAACATCACCTGGTTCCTCCCATTGATTCCTCACCTTGGCTATTGTGAACAGGTGCTGCAGGTGGTGGAGCAGGTCCCTTCTGGGCACAGTGACTTCACGTCTTTGGAGCATGTACCCAGGAGTGGGGCTGCTGGGACACATGAACACTCCATTTCCAGTTCTTTAAAGAAGTCTCCCTACTGTTTTGCATTGTGACTGTGATAATTTGGTTCCTCACCAGTATTTTCTCCTTCTCCACATCCTCTCCAGCCTTTGCTAACTTCTTTTTGCTGAAGAAAAAAAAAAAGCATTTATTTTTATTGGAAAGGCAGATAAAGGAGAGACAGAAAGATCTTCCATCCACTGATTCACTCCATAAATGCCCCCCAATGGCCAGGAGCTTCTTCCAGGTTCTCCACACAGGTGCAGGGGCCCAAGAACTTGGGCCATTCTCTGCTACCCTCCTGGGCCGTTGCAGGGAACTGGATGGGAAGTGGACATGAAGCCAGGACATGAATCAGTGCCAATGCAGGATGCTGGCACTTGCAAGCAGAGGATCAGCCAGCTAAGCTAGCATGTTGGCCTCTGTTATTTTCTTTTTGATAATGCCGTTCTAACAGGGGTGAGGCAATATCTCACTATGGTTTTGATTTAAATTTCCCTGACGGTTAGCCGCCCCCCCCCCTTTTTTTTCAGGTGCTTGTGCCATTTCTATTTCATCTTCTGAGAACTGTCTGCCTAGGTTCTTTGTCCATTTCCTAACTTGACTGGTTGTTCTGTGACCTGTTGAGTTTTTTGAGCTCCTGGCACATGCTCATTGTTAATGCTTTGTCAAATATGGAGCTAAGGACAGGCATTGTGCTGTCTGTTCATCCTTACGGCTGCCGAGTGACTCAGCACATCCTTGAGCACTGCACTGGAGAGCAGACCTTACCTGTCTTAGGAGAGCTGCACCACCACACAGAGCAGCTGGTACAGGACCAGTACGGCGATGACGTTATTCAGCATGTACTGGAACATGGCCGACAAGAGCAAAATTGTTTCTGAAGTCAGGGGGAAGGTCTTAGCCTTGAGTCAACACAAATTTGCCAGCAATGTAGTTGAACAGTGTCTTACGCCTCTCGAGCTGAGAGGGCTTTGCTGGTTGATGAGGCTTGCTGCCAGAAGGCTGGTCCTCACAGTGCCTTGCACACCATGATGAAGGACCAGTATGCCATCTCTGTGGTTCAGAAGATGGTGGATATGCCTGAACCTGCTCAGAGAGCGATAATCAGGCACAAGGTTTGACCTCACATTACTACATTGCGCGGATACGTGTAGGGGAAACACATCCTGGCCAAGCTGAAACAATACAACTTGAAAACCAGCCCGGATATAGGGCCTATCGGAGAACCACCAAGTGGAAAGCTGTAAAGGAAAAGAGAAAGAAGATAGTTTAACCATGTGAAACATTTCTTTTGTGAATTGTCAAAATGCGACTCAGCTAGGAATCTTCAAAATTTTTTCAAGATTTATTTATTCTTATTGGAAAGTCTCATATATATATAGAGAGAGAGAGAGAGAGAGAGGAGAGAGAGGAGGCTCTTCCGTCTGATGATTCACTCCCCAAGTGACCACAATGGCCAGAACTGTGTCTATCCGAAGCCAGGAGTCAGGAGCTTCTTCCAGGTCTCCCACACAGGTGCAGGGTCCCAAAGCTTTGGGCCATCCTCAACTTCTTTCCCAGGCCGCAAGCAGGGAGCTGGATGGGAAGCAGGGCCGTCTGGATTAGAACTGGCGCCCATATGGGATCCCAGCATGTTCAAGGCAAGGACTTTGGTCACTAGGCCACTGCACCAGGCCTGGTTCTTCAGTTTTTTTTTTTTTAATGCAAAGCTATTTACCGACTTCTTTCATCTATTTGTAGATATTGTTAAGGTTGTTGTGTATATTTGTGGGTGGGGTGATGAATTATGAATTATATTCAGCCCTGAGTGGAAATCTACCAGAATTACTGGCAAAGCACAGAGTGCCCATGTATGATGTAACTATCAAAAATAAAAAAAAAGCTGTCAAATATTTCATAAATTTTTATCTTATAAAGTCACCAAAGAAATGGTTTTTAAAGGAAAAAGTTCAGTACTCTTTCAATAAACTGCCTTGCAGTCTACGACCCCATAGCACAGCAGGTCTATAAAGCTATACATAGGATTGTAGTACCTGTTTGCTTTGCATGATGCCTTTTACAATGTAACAACCAACTGCACAAATATTATTGATGTTTTAAAAAGAGGAAGTTAAGTTGTATTTCAGTAATTCACAAACTATATTACAAGTTAAAACTCAGCAAGTGGGCCCAGCACAGTGGCCTAGCAGCTAAAGTCCTCTCCTTCAACGCTCCAGGATCCCATATGGGCACCGGTTCTAATCCCGGCAGCTCCACTTCCCATCCAGCTCCCTGCTTGTGGCCTGGGAAAGCAGTAGAGGACGGCCCAAAGCCTTGGGAGCCTGCACCTGTGTGGGAGACCTAGTGGAGGTTCCTGGCTCCTGGCTTCAGACCGGCACAGCACCAGCCGTTGCGCTCACCTGAGAAGTGAACCATCGGATGGAAGATCTTCCTCTCTGTCTCTCCTCCTCTCTGTATATCTGACTTTGTAATAAAAATGAATAGATCTTAAAAAAAAAACTCAGCAAGTAAAATAAGAATAAAATAATTTGAGATGAAAAGAATTCATTACTTACAGTGGTTGCAGTTTCAATACAAATACTGCCCTTAACATGTGTCTGGCGATGTGCGGAAGTATTGTCTATACTTAAATATGTAATTGTTATAATACTTAGAAAAAAAA